TGGACAGTGGGCAAAAGGGGCCGCAGACAAATTGACAACGCAAATGCACTGTGGTTACCATGAAATAATACAAACTATGAAAAATATAATTACTTAATTCCTTATTTGAAGTTCACAATTTTGTATTGTAACCTTGCATATAACCTTTTTAAAAAATTGTATTTGAATCTTTTATTTGAACAATAACAAATTAATCTTACATTTTTAAATGCAACTATTTTAAGATTAAAAAGCCTTTAAAAACAAATTTTTAAATTCAATTCAAGTTTTGGGTAGTACAAAAATTATAAGTATTACTGATATGCTTATCTTGGTGTTTAAAGATGCTCCCAGGCTTGACGCTTTTCATCTTTTGTTAAATAATTTTTTTTTTTTGCCCAATGTCAAACATGGCTTGTCTCATTTTTATTTTGGCCCACTGTGCAGTGCCTTTGTCCTAAGGAGGCGTCACAGTGGGCAGGCTGGGCCCCTGTGGGTCGGCTAATTGTCATGCCATGCGAGACTTCTCTCGAGCGGTTGTCTTGGGGAGCCGCTACTGATTTTTCTTCTTATTCGCGGCTCCGCACTCGGTCCGTCCATCAATTGACTTTATCTATTTGAACTCGCATGTTAAAAATATCAATTTGTTGTCTGCCCAGACTTTTGACTTTGCCCGTTTCTGACAGACACTTTGGCCCGCTCAACTGGCTGGCGGCTGGCTTTCTGGCCGATTCGCTTTAGCCTGGTCTATAGTAGAATCGCAGCTTTGCGTTTTTGGTGTGATTTATGGCCACTCGGTGGCATAAATGTAGGTGCGGCCTGCTGCCACATAAATCATTGTTCAACTCTGCAGTGCAATTTTGCGCAAATGCTCACTTTGCTCTCCGACTCGAGGGCTCGGAGGTTGGGTCGCTAAGCAGGGATAATGTTTGGTAATTGGTTGAACCAAAGCTCAAATTCGGGTATTAAGCACGGTAAGCATTAGCAAATTAAAAAAAATCCTATTTTGTTAAGCCTTACAAAAATGGATAATGAAACAGATCAGAAGATAATAATACATGAAAAGTAAATTTCCAGATTGATAACCATTAATAGGGAACAAAGTTTGCAAGATCAATTTAAATGTTACCTACTTGAAGCTTTTCCAACCTTCTTCTGAGTTTGCAAGTCAAGTTTAAAATTTAGAGGAACTTCTTCTTCCAAATGAAATAAAGATTTCTTTGCTTTTATATTCATATAAATAATTATATTAATTATTAATAATTATTAAATAATTATCTATGACAGTTGTTCGCATTTTTGAGTGTTTATGCCATCCCTCAATCGTTTAATCTGTTGTCCTAAAAACTACTTTGTAAGAAGACTCAAAACCATTATCCATATCCCGACACCTGTTATACTTTTGTACACCCCCGAATGTTAGCAAGTCATTTGACCATTCGGAATCACTTAATTTGCTAAGGAACCCCAATATTCCTTTCCTTCAGATCAATTAAGGAACTAAAGGGAAGAGTGACCAATCCTAGACGTAAGTGTGCCACTTGTGAAGGAAGGGAACCCGACTAAATTATAAGGTTCGTGAAAATCTGGAGAGGGCTAACCCCAAATGACCACTCCCACATGAATAATTCATCGAGTCAACTGAGTGGCTGTGCCCGCATTAATGAGCAACGCTTCTTATTTACCATGATGCCGCAAAAAAATCTGAAACAGAATTGAGAAATATTCAGCGAGACAAGTTTAATTAGAGAGAGAAGCCGAGTGAAATTGTCTTATCATAACCATTCCTCGGAGGAAATTTCCTGATTTTTGCACACAGACTGACTGGAAAATTGTGTTTAGTCATTCCATACACATCAATCATAGTCAAAGTGCCCCAGACAGCCGAGTTAATGGCCAAGGGATCCTGGCCATAATGTGCTGGGAGTTTGCGTGTCCTCGGACTTTCAGTTGGACAAGTGCATGATTAATTATTTTATTATCTATAAATTGGTTGTGTCCCCTCGAAACGATGATGGTGGACCTTTTTCCGCTATTTTCCTTTACCTTTGCATACTTTAAGGCTTGCATGAATTTCTCGCTTTTCCTCGGTTTTTCCCAACGCTTGAAAACTTTTAATTTCACATGTCGTTCTCTGCTCCATCATCATTAAGACCACTAAAAGGTTGAAGACACAAGAAATTTACTTTTTTTGAGAATTCTCGGCAGACCATAACTGTGGAAACGCCTCTTCAATCTGAAGTGCTGAACCATTTGGCCGGATTTTGAGTCCAAATATCTGCCAATATTTCTTTTTCCTTTTTTATGGGTAGCAACTTTTAAGCTGAAAATCTGTTGAAACTTTACACTGTTCGTTCATCACAGTCTTTCATTAAAAGTCTTTAAATATTGTTGTTGTTTCGGATTGTAGGTCTTGTATTCTGGCGAAACTTTGTCCAGATTTGGGTCAACTGTTCTTTTTTAATTAGCAAAATTTTATAGCTCTGCTTGGGAGTGGGAAGCAAATGTATTTGAAATATTGTGTTGACAGCTTTAATGGTCCAATGAGGAAATAATGGACATGTACTTTGAGCTTACACTGAAGAAAATCAAAATGGTTTAAGAGCATGTAATGTATTAAAATCGATTAAGAACGTGAGAAACTTTCTTTTAAACTAAACCAAATTAAATATGTTGCAAGATCCCTCATTTAAGTTCAAAAGACATCTACTTCTTTCGGCTATAATTTCCACTGCGGGGTGTCGATCTCATTCTCCAATTAGCGGTCAGGATCATAAACCCAAACAAAAACTAACTCAATCATTACGCAATTAAGCGACGACCCAAAGAAGAGAATTTCCACACAGATTTATAGCTATATCCATATCGAACGGGGGGCACATTAAATCACGCGACCCATTAATAAAATTGTTCCAGTCTCGTCGCCGGATAATTTTTCGGGGGTTCCGAAACAGAAGTCTCATTTAATCATTGTCGCAGAGCTATAATTCTTGGGCCTTGGGTTAGATGCCATAATTCTGTTGAAAATAATTTGTTCAAGTTAATTTCATTTTTGAAAGGCAGCTGTTTGCTGGTGAACTGTTTTATGACCCTATTTTGGCTGTTTAATTGTGTAAGTTCTGGAAATAATCAAATACCATATAAAAAATCAAAGAGGAGACATCAAAAAGTCTGAGCTCAATTATTTTGGTTCGTTTTTTTTTAAGCTATAAATGATTTTAATCTATAGATATTTTTGTAAGTGATCATTAAGATACTTAAAAAGGTCGAATCACTAATCTTTATTTTAATAAGTAAAAAAAATTAATAAATCAAAGTCTGTAACAATATAAAAATACTTTTAAAGTAAAAAATTCACTTTTATTGAGTAATTTTTAATTGAACCTTTAATGTGCAGCTATGCTACCAGTAATCCTTTTCAAGATTGTCACCTATTAACTTATGAGGTTCATTTGCATTTCATTTGAATTCGCAGCTCCGAAGCGAAATAAATCGAAGCACTTTCAGCATCGATCAAATCATTCGTTGATCGACATGAGCCCACACAATTTTCCGTTTAGCCTTATGCAAATCGCAGTGTGGGTCTTAGGCAAAAAAATCCAATTAACACTTTTAGAACGTGCCAAAAACTTTATTGCGCAAAACTTGATTTATGCAAAACCGAGGGGAGTCGGTGCAAACATCGATTGGTAGCCACAGTGTCTGAGCCAGTTTTACTGAACTAACAGAAACCCTCACGAACGCGAAAAGAACACCCACGAATCTAAATAACCCACAAAATCAATCAACCTCGATTACTTACAGTGCAATGCAAAAGTAAAATATTGCATCTTGCACAGCTATTAATTTTTTTTTATGTTCTATAACAACCGTACAACAAATATCCATAAACTTTTGTACATGCAGAAGATATTTAAAATGTTGCTTGGTAAATTATAAATCCAGGTTTAAGGTTTCTTAAGAGTTTTATTCCGGAGATCCCCATAAATGCGAACCTTGCTTGCCTGATAAAGAAATATGGCTATAAGTCACAAGTTTAAATGCAACTAAATATAATCGAGTACAGAAATCATTTCTTTTTTATTCAAACACCGAACAGTGTTTTACTGCGTTGTTCTGTACTTCTTTGTAGTTCTTCGCTCAAAACAACGAATTGCAGCGATTTAATGAATTGTGGCAGGTGTTTTTGTTATTTTTTGTTCGTGTTGTTGCCATAAAGCTGCACGCAGCCGATGGAAACTGGTTGGCTCTGACTCCAAAAACCACTTCGGATCTTTTTTCTGAAGTCTTGTTTGATTTGCTCAAATTAGCGCATGGAGAGCCGAAAACCTGCTGGCGTCCCCCACAAAAAGACTCGCAACATGTGGCACGTTTCCTTGGCCGGGCAATTGAAATTGAAAACTTCGCAGCAAATTGTTGGCACTTAATTGAGTAACTCCGATCGATCTCGATGTGCTTTGCATAAATTGAAAGGGGCCTTTGGAAAAGAGCAGAACGGAGCGTTCTGGGAGTGGGTGCGTGATATAGGTGTCATATGGAATCGGTTGTCAGTTGGCTTCGATCGTGTCTCCGCTCCGAGGTGCATTGTTTACGACCTGCAGGGGTCCAATGGACACCTTACCGCAACTCGGCCCAGGTGACCACAGCGGATTGCGACTTTATTGATTCGATCCAACAATTGAAAATTGTCGATCTCTTGTGGTTGCTTTTCTGACACAATTGGGTCATAGTTCTTAAGGTCGTGCAGGTGGTGGAAGTGACCTATTGGCAATTGAATTTCCATTTTTAATAATTAACTACAAATCTCACATCCCGTAAAAGTGTAAATATTTCAAAATATCTTTTAAAAACAGGTTTGATACATTTAAAAACTTACACACAATTTTCCCAAGTTTGTTTTAACTTTCTGTTCTGAAACTAAATGTTTCCATTTAAATGCAATAATTTAAGACACACATCTGGTAATACTTCATAAAATACCCACTGTGAACTTTACAAAAACAAAAAAGAGAAAAATTATCTGCTTTAAAAGACTTTAATTGTTTGATATAATTCGTATCATCTTCAATCTCCACAAAAGTTCAGTAAAATCAAAATACTCTTCAAGATTTACTCTACCTCTGTCGATCCTCAATTTTGACAACCACTATTAGTCCTCCGACATTTTTGTCATTATTGAAGAAAGTAATAATAGCTTTGACAATTCCTCGAGGAACTTGCGACGGCCAATCTTCGGTGTTAAAGAGGATATTTTTGAGGTAAAATTCGCCTTCTGGGATGGGACAGAAGTCATCATCGACCACGGGGAAATTCGTGGTCTCCCCAGTTTTCACAGAAGGTTGTACAAACTGAACGTAGAACTTTTTGAAGCATTCGCAAATGCTCGTTTGGGGCACATCCATGGCCATCCTCTTGAAGTTTCCATCTCCGTTGGGACTCGAATAAAGTTCCACTGAAACCTTAAAGTCGTCGTTGTTCATCTCGCCAGCGAACCTGAAGGAGCCGTTGAGAGCTCTTTCCCGTCCCACGGTTTTTATTTTATCGAAGAACACCAATGTCTCTGAATCGCCCTCGAAGGGATCAAGTTGTTCATTGGTCACCTCATAGGATTGTTCGCACTGTTGAAATAATTACTTAAAAATTAATTCAACTCTCCAATTGTAATGGTTACCTTTATGTTCTGCAGCAATTGGAGTATCAAAAGTATCACGAGCCACTTCATTTTGAACTGTCGGTCGGTTTTTTTGTGTCTATCCTATTTATAGGAATATTAGCTTTATTTTAGCACGCGATTTTCGTGTTCTATAATGCTATGTCAATATCAATTAACGGCCTTGCTTTGATCTTTGTTATTGGCATCAATGTTTTAGGGATCCATATCTTTTTGGTTAAGCTAAATTTTTGTCCAGTTGATTGCTTGTATAAATACAAAATATGGGAAAAACTATATAAAATGTATATTTGTATATTTTAGTGGAAGTTAACTTAAACTAATCACAACAAAAAATGAATCTATTTACTTGACTTAATAGGTTGTAATGCCTTCCTTGTTTTTACCCCCATTAATTCTTCGTGTTGAAAATCTAACTAAAATAATTCAATTTGTCGGAATCGCCTTCACTTCACCTTCCCCTGCCAGATGTCGGCACCAAGAATTCCACCGAAGTCCCATCAACAGATCATCAAAATTTGGGGGAAAATCCCCAAAAAAGAGCGATAATAAAGCATTAATTGAAAAGTTATAAACAAAAGACAGCAGCGACTCGAGAACGCGAAGACAAAAGACACGAAATACAAAACAAGCAGCACAAAAAGTGCGCAATGCCAGAAAAACTAAACTCAGCAGGAGATATTTTACATTTTCACGGATGGATTTCCCCAGAAAGTGTGTGCCAGAGCAGAGGGCGCGATAGTTTATATTTATAACAAATTCATTCAAGATCCGATGGGGGAAAGCGGCTTTGTTTCAGGGGGAGGAGGTTCAGAAAATAGGGGACACCACGCGCCTGCCACAACCTATAAATAGGAAAAGTCAAATGAGAGGGGATTTTCCGAAAAATGAAAACGTCACTTCAACTTCTCATTGCCCGCTTTTCAAGGGGGTCTTGCCATGGGTCTATCCACCCGTTTCGCCCCCAAAAAATGGAAGAACAAATGGTTGAGACCTTCAAGTACCGTTTACAAAACAAATTTATTTAGTTTCGCAGAAACAATTAAAGAAAGAAATTTTAAGAATCAAATTTTAATTTTTTCGTTAAAACGTGTTTAAAATTAAAATTGTTAAAATATAATATAATTATATATAATAAGTCCAATTCAATCTTTTTAGTTAATACTTGAGTATATATATTCTGTTGATTTATTTCGAACAGATTCAATAATATAACATAGTGTAGATTAAATGGAATACATTTGATAAAGTCATACAGCTAGCAAATATAATCCTCTTATAATCAAATAAAATCTTGCATATACCCTACCAAAAAGTGGTATCTAAACAGACAACCATCTGCAAGCCGCAAACAATTCGAGGCATTTTCCAAGTAATATGCAACACATGTTCTGTGGCCCGTGGGGGAAAGCGTGCTCCTGCGCCTGCGCCCCGTGCCACAAATGGAAGCGGAAAACTGCCAAGGAGCCGACAGCTCCTGGGCTTCCCTTTTGTCAAATGGAGCAGCACACGAACGTAACGTCAAGTGACAGTTCGCTGTCCTCAGCGAGCCATGACATTAGATGGTGCTTTGACTCGGCTCAGAAACCCCAAAGAAACAACGAGAACGAGGGGCCACGGAATCCATCCTTCTCCCCACTCTGGCAGCATTGTCAATCAAAAATATTAGAATAGGATTTATGGGGGGAAAGGAAAATCTTGATTTACGGTGCAGTTGATGTAAAGCGCGAAAGATATTTCAACATAAAGTATTTTAACATATACTTATCTAGTTTGTAATTTGTTCAAGTAATTTGTTCAACATTTTTAGTAGCTAGAAAACGATAAGAAAATGTGTTGTTTGCTTTTCAAAATGTATTTTAATTTTTAATGGTTTTGTAAATTAATATAATGTTTTATTAAAAACAGTGACAATATATGTTTTGTCTATCGTTAATCAAGTTTAATTAATATTGTTGATCTTAATACAAATCTTCGCAGTCTTATCAACAAATTCTACTTATTTCCTTTACCCAAAGCTAAGAACTCAGGTTCCACAGTGTTTACAATGTTACATCGTAGAAATATCTCCTTTAGCCAAAGACATGACGAAACACCAAACACAGCGAGTTAAGAAACCATTAAACGGACCACAAATCTCTTATATTCCTATCCCAGATTATTGATCGGTCCGCTGGCCCCGAGTTCGCCAAGTGGTCGAGCAGGTGACGGGCATTAGCATAAATCGCAGAAATCGCTGAAATCGAAGAAATCGCTGAAACCGGGGCGAGCAGAGCAGACAGGTCGGTCAACCATTAATGAACACCTACACGGCGAGGGGATCTGGACCCGGCCAACGGTCTTAGCAGCATAAATCAAACATTTAATTATAGAGTAATTAATGTAACGTATTTCAATTAATTAAATGCACTTTGATTGGCGTCGTTGCCCAGACGCAGTTCAGCCAAGAATCCAACTATCAAACAACACCCAGGCACAAACCGAAGCTTAAGTCGCCAAAACCGAAAAACCGAAACCAAAACAAAAACATTGCGAAACCTGAAATTTTGCGCGCCAAAAAATCGGTAAGGAAAATGCAATATCAAAATAAGACAACAATATTGGAGACATAACTTGGAATACTCTTCAATAAAACTGTGTACTATCCAACTAAACCATTAAAGTCATTGCAGGTTTAATGGAAACTCCTAAGAAGTTAAGTTAAAGGCCGAGCTAGTTTGTTTAAAAGGAATTTATAGGATATATGCCACTATTATTCAACACATCATACAAAGATACAACTCCTGATGAACTCCCAGTAGACAGAGTATCTAAAACAGCTGGATAAGTTGGTAAAGCAGGTGATAAGGCGGCAGTTTCAACTCCAACCGTCATCATAAACCAGCTGCAACTTCTGCAGGAGGATCGATCGCAAGGGGCGGGGGGGCGTGGCGTGGGCGGTGGAAAACTCAATTGCGTCGTTGCGAAAATTAACTGCAATATGCATAGAGCCCACAGAGCCCGAGAGTCACTCGTGACTTTAAGAAATGTTTAAGGCTCGCCACAAGGCCTGGACTGTCTATTTTTCTTTTTTTGTACATAAAGAAATATTTACCTTCTGCTCAGTGGGGAGATGTTAAAACTACTCTCTTATTTTGCCGGTATACAACTTATAAATTCTACTATTTTCCTATGGTGTTTAATTTAGAATTTATGTAAATTATTTGCTTACTATTTATTTAAATCATTTATAATAATTGAAAAGAATATTTTAAATCGCCTTTTATTGGGTTAAAACGAAACACCTGCTGTGCGATCTGTGTTCTTCGCAGATAATAATATTGTTTAACATTTTATTACAATATTTTCTTGCTATTGCTAAAAATAAGACTTCTGGAACTATATTTTCGGTGTAGGACTTGGCTTCCTACGTTGCAGGCCAAGTCGAGAAGGCGTCGCGGCTTCCGTGGCAGGTTACAATAATTTTTTGCTGGTGTTTTTGGTTTGGCCTAATGCGAAAGTTGTTGCCCTTGTGTTAGTGTGCTGTAACTATGATCGTGCCACAAGTGGCAGTGCCAAACAACACTGGTTGACATAAACTGTTTTGCATTCGAACATACTTTAATTTGATGTTTTTACTTTAAAAGTAATAAATAATAAATAAATACATTTATAAATTTAATAAATTTATATTATTATCTTATTATGATTTGACTACTAAAAAATAAGAAAAACTAAAAGTAATTTGTGCTCCCATGTAAATATTAGTTGAATTATTGAATTATTGAACCAAATAGGTTATTAATCTAACAAAATCTAAGTCCCAGGAAACATTAGATTTTCAAAAGATTTGCTCGATGGTGTTGTTTTTCTACCACGTCACGCGTCAACTTTGTACGTGTTGTTTCGTTTGTTGGTCAAGTGAACAACAACAACATTGACAATAACAAATGCAACACGCGCTTAATTTTTATTAGACCTCATGTGGTGCGCATGCGCAGCACCGAATAACCGTTGCATATGGACATGCGGATACGAATGCACATGTGCGCGTAGATATATTTTTTGGGGCCAGCAATTGGCATAATTGACTGGTTGGTCGGTTGGTCGGCTGGTCGGTTTGTCTGGTCAGATACGTGAGGTGGGAGAACTTTTTGGTTACCATATTGTGTGTCGCCCCACAATTGATTTATGTCCATCATTAATAACAATCACATGAGAGGTTCGAGACAAATGTAAAGCGAGCCAACTGAGTGACAAGGAGGTTGAACCTTGGGCAACTCCCACACAGTTTGTGAAACTGAAATATCGGATAGTTGTTTCTTATTTTCCTAGTTGCTGAATTATCAAGAACCAAAGCAGGGGAACGGAAAACCCGTATCTTAAAAGAAGGAATTTTGGCAACCTGCAGTAATTAATTAACAGATTAAATCCTTACTGTCTTACCTTTATGTTTCCAAACCAACTTGAATAGTTTTTTGATTTTACCTAACAAAATTGGCTTTTCAAGAATCTTTGCTCAAATGAAATTAAATTAACTAAGTTCCCTGACTATGGTTGCATCAATAGATCATTTCAATAAGTTTTTAAATAGACAACCGTACAATATTTCTAAGGTGTGTATTCTAAATACATTATTTGCAAGAAAAAACTTATTATGGTTATATCATCGCTCAGTATTGCATTTCGCAATTATCGGCCATAAATTGGTTTATGTCGGCAGCTTCACATATCAACTCATTCGGATTTTATGGCCCCGTCGTCTATATTTAGATACCGCCTCAATAAAGAGCCAGGCAAAACAAAAAGCGAATCCGAGTCGAACTAATTGCCATGTCCACAATGCTGGTGCTTATCCTTGATCATCAATGGTTCATTAACTCCGCCAGAACTGCTGCAAAAAAGACAACAATGCCGTGGAGCGTATTTAATACAATTAACTGGCTGCGTTATAAGATTAACCCCATCGAGAAGGGGGGAATTGCAAGGGAGCCAAGATCGGGCTTCCTCCCAGATTAACAATCAATTAAAATTGACAAGTGGTCAGCAAAGTGCAGCAGGGAAAGGCCAGGAAAATAGAGGAGAGGAAAATAATTACGATGGCTGCATAAAAGGCGCCATTTAGC